CTCTGGACATGTGACATTAGGAAAACCTTAATTCCTGTGACGTCTATTTTCACCAAATCAAGCTAAATCGTCTTCGCTGAAGTCAATCGGATGTCGAAACAGAGAAATTACTTCTACTTTTCTGTAAGGCAGTCGGCGCCATACTGTATATTACACTTATTCTTGGAGGACATTTACTCTGGAGACGATTTACTGAATTATTTGCATGGACAGGCTACGAATTAAGTTTACCGAGTTACACGAGTACTCGAGTTTACGGCACTTCCTCTTTCTAAATAAATTTTTCATTTCTAACCAATAACATATCACTTTTAATCTTTCGTGTGTGCAGTTAACTGAAGTTTGCACATCACTAAATGGCAGTTCCCATCAGTGCAATTGGGACGGCTTCCATTGGTCCGATTTGATGTAAATTAATTCATATTTCACGAGTTACGTCACCTACAGTAAGTGCTGTTCGCTTTTGTTGGACGACATACTAATTTACTGGATCAAGCATTCCTCTGAGAAGAACAAAGTGTGTGACTTTTGGCAGTCAGGGAGGGGCTGCATACATTCAATTATGTTTTAACAGCGAAATAAACAGTATGGCCAGTTCATATATTGTGCAAAAAAGCGTATTGTCTGTAGCTGTCGTAGGGGTAATCTGAGCTTAAACAAATTTACAAACTTTTACATATTATAATCGATGTCAGCATTTTCTAGCGTTCATTTATTGTAACGAAAATTCCAATATTGTTATTCCCTATCAAAAGATTACTATTACTGACTTATTTTATAGTCCTTTTTGCATACATAAAGCGCCAGCCGTGACAGCATAGCCATTATGCTAGAGGAATAATACAACAAGCGCCCTAAAGACTTCTATTATTACAAACTGTGTAAAAACCTAAAACAAACCCCACTGCAGGTTTACTGGTTAAAAAGAGGATGTAAAGTTTAGCTGAAGGCACTGTTTGTGCATTTTTTCTTGTTGTACAAGCACTGAAAATCCGTACAGAAAGGACATTCAAGCAGTGCCGCTTCCCTAGGCATGATTTACGCAGTTGGCTGACACCTGGGCAGCATCCTATCGTACATGAATTAATTGGGGATTTCAACTGGGGCTGGCCAGTTTTACAAGCGCACTTGGACAGTTTTTTTCCCGTTTGAAAGCATAAGATTCCATTCGATCCACCAACAGGTTCGATACATATGGCATTCAATTACCAAGTCGCTTTCATAAAGGGGGAGACTTCAGGATTCTTGTCAAAATATCAGTTT